CATTTTCTGAACTGAGGCAATTGTATGAATAACTCCATCTGAAAACATCCTCTTTTTCCTCAAACAGAACGTTTAGTAAAATGGCATGCTTGTCCTGGAATTTGCTGATGATTGTCTCAGCATTCTCCTTCCTCTGTAATGGTATAGATTAAGCATCATTGACATTTTTGGAGAATATTACCAACTCTATAGTCAGGTGTTTGTTTTCCAAAGTCTGTTGTTGATTATCTCACCTATCCATCAAATATTTATTGAGCTACTACTACATGCAAGACACTTTGTTCAAGAGGAGGCTGATCCTTAGAGTTAAAAGACATATCCAAATTAAACATTAGCCTTTGTGTTGCCTTTGCTTAGCTTAGCAGGTGATTTTCATAATAACTCCTGTAATATGTAATTAGTACATATTTTCAGGATTTGGTATCCACGTAGTATTGTAGTTGGTATCCATGTAGTTAATTTATTTACCAATTTATTCTCTTTATATACCATATGTTCCAGGCACCAACCTGGCTGCCAAGGATTAAGTGTTAAATGAAGTAGGCTGTTCCCTACCCTCAAGTAGTTCACATTCTGGATGGAGAGAAAAAGGTTATGAAAGGTAGCATTATTGCAGATTGGAAGAGCATCTGTCTAGGAAATAAATAGAATGAGTATAATATGCAGAGAGAGTATAAGTTTCAGGGGAGAGGACTATTTAAAGAGAGAGCTCTATCTAAATGTCTCTGAAGTGACATTTAAGATGAGACCAACCACAAGGGACATGCTGAAACACAAAAGTTAAGTAGAAAACAAGCAAAACAAAACAAAATCCCACTCTTTGACTCCATGGAAGCTATGTTCTACCAGATGCAACAGACAAATCAAAATGTGGACTAGAATATTTATATTAAACTCAGATTTCTGTAATGTACCATCCATTGAAAATTGCTTAAGAAATACTTTGTTTTCTTTGGTAATAGTGGTAATTTAAAAAAATCAAACCACTAAAGCAAAATTTAAAATGGATCCTTGTTTCTAATGGTCTTCACAGTCATTGTACTTGGGACTGTAACTTTTAGAGAATCAAAATTACAAGTTACTACGGGAGTTCTAATTTACTACTTAAAGGTTTGAACTGGTATTTAATTGATAAAAAGAAGGCCTCTACAATAGCCATCGTTATTAATTGTTCAAAATGATTATATCCTTTGTATTTTAAAGTGTATCTAGTTGAAATTCTAATAAGATGCACTTTATTTTACTAAGGGATATTTTATGAAGGTTACATTAAAATGTTTTAGAAAACATGATTAATATGGATGTTTCACTATTTTTAAAAAATATTCTATTTTTGAAGGAGATTTTTCCAATACCAGAAGATAGTTTCATTACAAAAATTACACTCATAGTGTTGCTCCTGACTCATTTCTTTGTGAGGAAGGATCAGGGCAAAGAGTGTCCTACCTGCTCTGTGCTCACTGACTGCTCAAGGCAGGGGTTTCGAGAAAGGGGGGCAGGTAATGCCTAGAGCAAGGGGGCCAGGGCCAGCAGCCCCCATGAAAGTAGCTTAAAAGCTACTGGGTCCCTGCTATTCTAGTATTAAGGTCACTCCAGTAGAATACTACTCAGAAAAGAGAAGCATTGCAAATAAAGCAGTTTTCTAAGTAATGGCATAAAAATATTTGTTTTGTCTTAGTTACACAGTAATGTTAGTAAAAATGAAAAAAAATGTGCCTGATTTACTCAGAATTGCCTTGATGATGATGATGACGATGACGACAAAGATTCTCTTTCCTTTTATTCTCCTCCCTCCCTGCCCTTCCGCTCCCCCAAAGTTTTACTCATGTTTCAGCAATGCCCTTAATCCCAGTGAGCACCACTTGTTCCATTAAAGCACAACACCTGGGTTAGATTTAGACAAATTTCACATCAATTTTTATTGATGCACATAATAATTTCTTATAAACCAGTTAGTATTTTTCAGACAAGTAGGGTTTGTTAAACTCAATGGCTAGACTTGAAATATTTAGTTATTTATTACAAATAGACATTAGCTTTTATTCCCAGAGCCTTAGGTCTGGGAGAACTGTTAGTAAGTGAAAATACACGTGCCCATGCTGTACATTTACAATTTAGGTCTTGTAAAAACCATCAGTGTCAAACCAGCTTCTGCAACTAGATAAGTCATACTGCTAGCTGATCTTATTTATTCCTCAGCATCGTGCATGTTACCAATAAACAGTGTGCCCATGCTGTACATTTACAATTTAGGTCTTGTAAAAACCATCAGTGTCAAACCAGCTTCTGCAACTAGGTAAGTCATACTGCTAGCTGATCTTATTTATTCCTCAGCATCGTGCATGTTACCAATAAACAGTGACTTTCCAGCTTCATTTTCCTATGCAAAATGATAGGATGGTTAATACAATATGACATTCATTCCTAATTTGATGATCTGCTTCAGGTGACGTCATCTCACCATAATTGAACGTTTGCAACCAAACGCATTAAAATTTACATTTAGAACACTTTGCAGCCACGGTAATAACACTAATAGGTTTGCTTTTTGTGGTTTTGTGGGTTTTGTCCACCTCCTGCAGACATGGATGTCATCGAGTGCTCCTTGCAGTTCCCAGATGACGACTACTCCTGGTGGGACCTCTTCATGAAGATCTGTGTCTTTGTCTTTGCCTTTGTGATCCCCATCCTCATCATCATTGTCTGCTATACCTTGATGATCCTGCGCCTGAAGAGTGTCCGGCTCCTTTCTGGCTCCCGAGAGAAAGATCGCAACCTCCGCCGGATCACCAGGCTGGTCCTGGTGGTGGTGGCCGTCTTCATCATCTGTTGGACCCCCATTCACATTTTCATCCTTGTGGAGGCTCTGGGGAGCACCTCCCACAGCACAGCCGCCCTCTCCAGCTATTACTTCTGCATCGCCTTGGGTTACACCAACAGCAGCCTGAACCCCATTCTCTATGCTTTTCTTGATGAAAACTTCAAGCGGTGTTTCAGGGACTTCTGCTTTCCAATTAAGATGAGGATAGAACGACAGAGCACCAGCAGGGTCAGAAATACAGTCCAGGATCCTGCTTACATGAGAGATGTGGATGGGATGAATAAACCGGTATGACTAGTCGTGGAAATGTCTTCTTACGGTTCTCCAGGAAGAGAAGAGTTCAATGACCTAGGTTTAACTCAGATTACCACTGCAGTCTGAGACAGAAAGATAGAATTTTTAATAAGCTTTTAGAAATCTCATGGTCTGAAGTCGTAAGATGCAGGCAGCATTAGTGACCCAGGTCACTGGGAGCATCAAGGCTGTGGGGATAAAGGACAAAAGATCTGAGCAACAAACGTGCTCTTCTATAGGGCAGGGAAGCAAGGCTGACTTCCATTTCCCTTGACGGACAAAGAAACAGGCCTCTTTCTTCTGGTTACCTAGATTTAGTTCAGCACCAATCTGTGCTGGCTTTCATATACAACGTGGCTTCAAAAGTTCTGCTTAAGAAAAAAAGAAAAGACAGCACATTGGGTTCAGAGCTTTGTGGGCATCCAAAGCAGATGTTTAATAGTGACAGCAACAACCTCAACAAAGAGAAGAGCCATTTCCAGGGCTGATGCCCAGCTCACTTTGTGCTGTGTGGACACCCATTTCTTGTGGCTGTGTGGTGAGGATATAGCTTAAGGAAGACTTGGACCCACACCTGAGGAGTCTCATATATAGTAGGATATTATCTTGACATTTATAAAATTATTTAAACATGCAAAAGTTGGTTTCTAACATAGCTTAATTTCTTGAAAACTGCAGTTGTTGTTTTTTTAAGCATGCTATTCAGGTAAATAATCTTATGATAAAGCTTGTCCTGATGTCAAGAAACATAAAATGGTTTGAATAGCACTGAAAGAATATATAGTTTTATCTGTAAATAATTGTATATGCTCAAATAAGGACTGGGTTTGGCTTCCAGCCAGGCAATTTCTTGAGGGCACACTAATGACATCCCCCAAGATGTCATTAAGGTGTTATTATGAGTTGATGCTGAGACTTTTTTGCTGCAACATAAGCCACTCCTGGGAATCAGTCATGGTGTGATATCTTTCAAACTCCCTGAACACCATTTAGTCCTTTAACAGTGCTCGTAACTCATGTGTTAACAAGTAACAAAACCTGCAACTCACTCCCAAGTTGTAGGCTTGGACGAATCTAGTTTATTTGCCGTATCTCTTTATAAATATACAGCTATTACCAGATTCTCTTTATTCATGGAGTGGATGGTATTTTGCTTATGTAGGTCTCCAGATATTATTTGCAGCTTTCAGTGGGAAGTAGAATTGTTCCTAAATGTGTGCTGAATGAGGGCATTATGTCACTCGTGGTGCCTGGACATACCTTGCACGGTGTTCTATGAAGGTCATACCTGTTGAGGATAATGCCATGAGTAGCACATTTAGGGTAATTTTGCTAAAACTTCTAGATGACAAATTCCCTCTTCTTTCCCCTGAAACTCATAGTTTCAGAGGTAATGGCTTTTTCTGTTGTGAAGTATACTATAAAGCAAATATATTTCACAGGGCCTAGTTTCTTGTACTTTCAGGTTTAGTCTAACTTCTTAAAAGTACATATAAAATGTTGGCCTTGCAAAAACCAGAAAAATTTCCCCAGGCTATATAGTCTCTGGTGTAAGATAAAGAGTTGTAACACAGCAAGGCTGCTGGTTCAAAGACAGACAAGTTACTGATTTTTTCCCCAGGCTATATAGTCTCTGGTGTAAGATAAAGAATTGTAACACAGCAAGGCTGCTGGTTCAAAGACAGACAAGTTACTGATTGATATGTAAAGATACTGGGAAGCTCTGTAGGGAGAAGGAATGTTTGCTAAGATCAAGCTTTTGTTGGTGGATCACTTAAATTACCTTATGGAATGTCATCTGGCTTGTTTTACTGAATGTTACCAGCCTATATTGTTAAACTATAACCCCACCTATGTTCTCTTCCTGTAACTTCCTGGTCTGGAGAATAAATGTGGGAAGAGAACCCCAATTC